AAATGATGCATGTGCACAGAAAATAAAATGCAGGATAAAAATGTCCCCATGTTTAGTCTTTTGCAAAAAAAGGGGTAGAAAGTTAAATAAAATTAAAAAGGCCAATGACCCATAAAAAGTTAAAACTACAATTAATGTGGACAATGTTACTACCACCAATGACATTGTTCAATGTCGAAAGCAAACCAAGAGACAAAATATGACTAGAATGATGCCACCGCTGGAAATCTTAGCTATAAATTGGGCAATATGACTTGAGTGTCACAAAGTCCTTTCTAGAGGAAACTGATAATAAAGAAACTGTGACCAATGCAGAGCCTTGACAAGACAACTTCCACTCTCCAATTCCTATGTAAATTAGATGGCCAAACAACAGGCTTTATCTGAAAAAGTTGGCTCTGATGTTGTTAATCCCAAATCGACCGCCACTTGGGTGAAGCCTCGTCTTAATGACAGGCCTGAAGTCTACATAAGGGAGAGACTGTAACAATGCCAAAGTAGATGGATTCAATTTAACTACAGCACTAGGAAGCTTATTCCTACGAATACCAACATGACTAGGAATCAATAAAAACTAAATAGAGGTGGATAACAACAAAAATAAGCCAGTCTCCTGTGAAAGTCCAAGAGAAATAGATGGGAAGTCACATTAAGACTAAGGTTATTTCTATCCAAATTATACTTACAATTAAAATTATGATAACCCACTTGTATATCTTGCATTTATCATAATTAAAACCCATCTGCCATTTATTTGCCCAACTCACTAAATGATCTAAATCCTTTTTTAAATCAGCACAATCTTCTTCACAGCTAGCAACACCCAAGACCTTAATATCATCTGGAAATTTAAGTAATTTATTGACTATTCCTTCCTCTATGTCATTGATGTAAATCAAAAAGAACAAAGGTCCTAAGACTGAGCCCTGAGGTACCCCACTTGTGACATTAATCCAGTTTGACTGAACTCCATTTGTAACAACTCTGCTTTCTTCCATCCAGCCATTGTTTTATCCAATTTGTTAACTTATCCTCCACACCTATAGAGTTAATTTTTTACAAGCCTTTTATGGGGCACCTTGTCAAACGTTTTCTGAAAATCCAGATACACCAAATCTACACCCTTACCCTCATTTACATCATCAGTAACCTTTTCAAAGAATGTTAAAAGATTTGTAAGGCAAGATTTTCCCTTAGTGAAACCATGTTGACTATCCAATAAAATTCTAAATTTTGTTAAATGACTTTGCAAAGAATCTTTTAAGACTTTCCAAAACTTTTCCCACAACTGATGTAAGACTAATGGGTCTTTAATTACTGGGACAATTCTTATCACCTCCCTTGAAAAAGAGGAGTTACATTAGCTAACTTCCAATCCTCTGATATCTGCCTATTATTCAAGGACTGACAAGAAATAGTAGAAAGTGGCTCACATATCCAATCTCCTTCAAAACCCTTGGGGAAATATTGTTTGGCCCAGGAGCCTTATCATTTTTTAAACTTCCCAATTTGTTCTTAACCAGCTCAGAATTAATGCAGTCATCTTGTTTGAATGTGAATAGAAGAGATGATAACCTGAGCAGTTGGTTTTTGTCACAAGAACCACAAGTTAACTGACCACAGCAAGATTGTTTAGTGTGTCCCAACTGCTGATAGTGAAAATAACCATCGGTTGTAAAGATATGGGGAGACTGTACATATCATATACCTTGCTTTAACAGTGGCAGGATGATGATGAATATTAAACATCAAGGCCAGATCCCTAGTCGCCTCAAATATTCCATTTATATGAGTGGACGCATGTCGCACTGCTGACATTCCTTGAGAGAAAAGACCAGCGAGTGGCTCAAACTCTAAGAGGACAATAAAGCCCCTGTCAACAAAAACTCCACAAGTTGAATTCAAAGATGAATGAGAAGTACCCTCAATAGGTATAGCCCTCATACATTTTGACTTTAAGAGGAGTTTGCTGTCATGTGGTTGAGTTGTTTCAACCAACAATTTCCCCAGATCTTAGTTTCTTAACTGACAAGTTTCTCTAAGCCTTTTTGATATGAAAAAAGGTGACATTTTGAATAAAGATTTGTCAAATAAAGAATGTAAAAACCGTAACCCCTGTACAGCAGGAACAGGAGAGGGTGGTTACAAAGTGGTCTAGCATACTACATCATTAGGCATATTATGGTATATGTATCAACACTGACCATATGTTAATGGTGACATGACACATGCATAATGGCATAGTAAAGCGCTTTGTTACAAAGTGTTTTTGATTGCAGTATAAATCATACATTGACAAAAAATCAAATTTATATTTCAAAAGAAATTATAAATATGTCATGTGTTTGAAATATCTGTTTTTCAGACTTGGTAATGTTCACAAGTTATTAATGTTTATCGATAAAAGGTGTCATGATACTAAATACCAAACATTAAACTGTTAATATAAAGTATTCAATCTCTATTTTCTTAGCCTTAAAACATACTAAGTGCAGAACTCTGTTCAAAATTTCAGCAATGTTTATCTTTATCAAATATTTCATGATTTAAATTATTTTCTCGATGACTATGAAAATATACTCTAGTTTATGTTCAAGATATTGTATTTAACTCTTTCATTATCAAATTTATAGATAAACAATGTTTTCAGTGTGAGCTTTATTTTTTAGACAGACAACAAAGATGTATTTTAATGTTTTGTTACTTATATGAAATTGAAACTGGTAATCTTTGGATACTTTGAAATTGAATACCATTTCTTCATGGTGGTACAAGATTCCAAAGTCACATGGCAGTGCTTTAGAGAGAGTCATTTATATTCCCATGGCAGTAAAAAAAAAAAAAAGTTGTTTCACACAGAGAAAAAAAAAAGCTGACAATTTCCTGTGCTGAATAATTGCCATTGCTAACTATTATATAGTAAAATTTTGTTTACATGATGTCAGTGTTATGGTAATAAATAATTTTAACAGGCATATTTGTGTAATTAGGAGATCAAGATAGAAATGTGAATGATAATAGCAGCCTTTGATCCCAATAATTTTGATAGGGAACTAACTTGAATTGAAGAAAATATTACAAAAATATTACATACAGTCAGTTCTACACTAAAATGTTGATATGTGGAAACTTTCTGCTAAAACAGAATGACAGTTGGAAGCATATGAAATATGGTGTTATAGATATATAATAAATATCAGTTGCATAGAAAAAACTAAAGAAATAGTCCTGGAATGTGGAAATACAAAAAGACAACTGCTGGACATGTTTAGGAAATAGAAAATGCACTATTTTGGGCATACAATTAAGTTTTAAGGTAGACTGGCAGAAACAGTGATAGTAACATCAAAGGAAAAAGAGCAAGAGACTCACTTGAATCAATGACATTAGCAAATGGATTGGACATGAAAAGTTTGAATTAGGGAAAGCTGATCTAGACAGTAATGAACAGAAAAAAAATGAAAAATCAGTCATCAACCTTCAGAATTGGTGAGGACACCACAACTGATTGAGTGTAATTAGTTTCATGTTATCTAGTATATGTTATCTTTTGATGTACAGTTTTTTTATTGTTTTTCTGTTAATAAATCTTTAAGTATACTGAAATATTTACTGTATTATGAACACTGAACATTTATTGATGTTTTACCTACAAGTCTGCATTTGTAAAATTTAGTAGTAAGAAGAAAGCAAAAGAAAGCTAAAAAAAACAATATGTGGCCATCAAATTATGGTAGATTACACTAGAAATAAAAGCTTAACACTTATGATTCATAATCAGTAATGTAAAGATAAAAAAATTAAATTCAGAGGAAATGTCATCTCAGATGCCCCTACTGAAAATGTGGTTAAACATTTATAATTCTACACTAACATTAAATATTTTGCATCACCTTGTATAGAAAACTGTTATTCCTAAAATAAAGTGACATGCCTAAAATTTGTAACTAAATTTATGGAACAGTTAAATTTAAAAATTCAGTCACAGCTGTAGTGAGATTATATGCTGTAGGGTTCAAATTAATTAATTTTATTCCTAGATATAAATGGGTACAATTGTTCCTATAATATATTAAAAAAATTACAACACTTCTATTAAAACATGACAGTGATCCATCTTCAGTTAAAATCCTCACCTAATATTTTGCAAATACTTTTCATTACCATTCATCTGTATGGTTACACGAGCCTAACAAAACAATTGACTTAGTATTTAACTTCTTCTGGGTAGTCAATTTGAAAACTTTACTAAGTTGGCAATAAGTTAGGAGCATAGCTGATTCATATATAAAGGACAGAAAAGATGGAATAAACCAGTTAACCTAAATCAATAGCTAAATCAAAAGTTAAAATAGCTTTCAAGTGGCTTAATTAGAAGTATTTAACTCCTACATTTAAACTATACTCAATAAAGATGGAATTTTTTGAACATCACTATAAAAATGCATATTTTGGGGTTCCAAGTCTAAAGTTTTGAGTACACATATTTCATACTCTTAATTATATTTACTTGTCAAAATTTATCAAACAAGATAACAGCCATGCCTACTATGAAATTAACAGTACAAAGTAGAAAAGCTACAGACTTCCAATACTTAGTTGTTGTTTTTTTTTAAAAGAAAAACATTAAAGGTTGAAAAGGTATCATCAACATTAAACATATATTGAAATGTTTTTTTTTAATTCTGGCAAAACAGTATAATGAAAGTTTATTTCTGTCTCATTTATTATTATAAAAACATAGCGAAATAATGTCAGTCAAGGGTAAACTTATTTTTACATTTCAATATATTTTTCCCCAAGAGCATTACATAATAGGAATACTAGAAAACTTAAAAACAAAGTTTAACAATTAGCTAATGGCAATATTTCATTATCAAGATCAAGGTTTTTGTTAAATATTTCCAAATAAAACTTCAACTTTCAAGCATCATAGAAGTAATAATTAGCTAAGGATTTTTGTTGTTTTTTCTCATCAGATAATAATGAAAAAATAAATAGCTACTGCAAAAATACTGTTTTTTATTTAAGAATGCAAAGAAATACAAAAAGGATATTGTAGGAAAAAGCCTGAAATTCAGATAATCTTTCAAAAAATAGTTGACTAATATTTAATGAATTTGTTGAATAGTAACAAATTCTTCCTCCAATGTCTTACATCCAAGATTTTCACCTCAGAAAGTGATGACACTGCGCAATCTGCAAAACAAATATTAAATGAACATATGCATATGAAAAGTGGTTTGTCACAATGAAGTACTTATCTGTTATTCAACAAGGCAAACTAAGTTCTTTCCTCATGTCTTATTTGTTCATTAAAGATTGGAAAAAGATGGGAGTAAAAACAGCATTCCAGATCTCTTACTTGCTACAAATCATGGTTGATGCTTTGACAGTAAAATGGTCTAAGAATAGTTATTTCAACTGGTAATCTCAGTTAGGAGGTTAAAATATCAACAAAGTTATGATTTCATTACAAGATGAATCATCTATTATGATTATAATCATTAAGATTTTCCTTTGCTTTTTGATGTACTATCAAAAAATTACACAAAATCAGAAAAATTTTGTGTATCTTCTAATTTCAGGATGAATTTTAAATTGTAACATCAAACTTTAAGGGTAATTTTTGGCTATTGTCATTACATTATCTGTTAATTATAATATCATACTATCAGGATATTTTGACTATTATCATTAAATTATTTCTTGACTGTAGTATCAAACATCAAATGTAGTTTGGCTATTATCCTTACATTTTCTGTTGACAAAATGCTCAAACTCCTCAAGTTTGTGTGATCTTACTTATGTAGACAAAAAAACCATTGCACATGATGTATATTTTCCTTGGATATGTGAGGTAGCTAACATGTATGTATATAAATTTGCATAACCTTTTTTTTTATTTTTCTCACTACCTTCCTTATTATTTTCTTCTTTGGTAGACAGGCAAGATACATCTGAAATGCTATTTTTTTAAAACACTTCTGATTTGAAATCCTTAACATACTAGTTACATAAATGTAAGTGAAAAAAATATGCAGATGAGCATTAATTTGATCACATTTGCCGGGCATACAAAATGCATCCAAAATAGTTTTGATAAAGAAATCATAACAAGAAAATTTTAACAAACCAAATAAAACCCTAACAGTTTTGATAAGTGGATCTCTCTTTATTGGGGCAAAGGTAAGATGAAGAAATGGAGTATAAGCTGTGAACCTAAACTGCAAAATAGGAAGTAATCCTGACTGGTTGGGTGTGAGCCAAGGCATACTTTAATAATTGCATTTTCATGTAATGGGATACAAAAATAAATTTAAAAATTTAAGATTTAAAAAAAAGCATTGAAACTTATCAATGTTTTTTTTTCACTCAATAATAAATGTCAAGCAGTACAGAATTCACTGTAAAAACTTTTTTTTAAATCTAAAAATAAAATGATTATTCAAAATGAGTAAATAAATTATCATATAAGATTTAAAATAAGTTAAAAGTAGCAACTAAAACCAAAAGAACAAAATGTTAATGAATGGGGGAAAAAAATATATATAAAAACTCATTTGTGCAAGGAACAAGGTTAATGCCACAAAAGTTGAGACTGAAAATTTAGTAAGCTCTTTTTATCTCTCTATCTGCTTTTGACTAGAACCCAGTTTCAATACCAAAATGAATCAGATCATTAATAAAATGGCCAGATTAGTTTAAGTTGTTTGGCAAAAAAAAGAGTTAAACCAAATGGATGGTTGACAGTGAGCGTGTCAAGACATTTTTACAGTTACATTCAAAATTGAATTAAATAACTTCATTATCAATGCATTTTAATAAACTAAGCATCAAGATGTAGTTTATAACTCAAGTTTTAATTTTCTAAATGCAAAAAATATATTTAAATAAATTATTAATCTTCATTTATCTGTATCATGCAACACTTGTTTACTCCCAATTGCTCATTTTAGATTTTCTTCCTACCCCTATATGACCTTCTGAGTTTGGCACAAATTACACACTTATAGTACCAATATCTCTAAGCCATAATGTAACTGTATAGCTTCCAAGCTTATTGCATTATTGAGGTATAAACAAGTGAAACCCACATATTACATTGTTTATATCCTGTCTTTTACAAAAGTCAATAACTCTCTCTGACATATGCTATTGGATTATTTACAACCAACAGAAAGAGAAGACCTTATTTTTGAGATTCCTTACAAGATTTGTTTATTCAGGCAACAGGTTTGGAAATATTTGGCCTCTATTTGCCATTGTGGTGTGCAGCTTGACCAGCTAATGGAATTTTTTTAACCCAATTATAGCTTAGTTAGAAAGCCAGTTAAATTATAGTAATTTTAGAACACTATATTTTAAGTGTGTGATAATATTTTGTTCTGTAAGTTGCATGTTTGAAATAAAAAATGATTATGTTATGAAACACCAAAATTGTTACATGTTCAAAAAGTATGTTTATAATTTTTCATCTTCCCAATGGTAATAAGAGACAAAAATCTGGATTAAGCACTAAATTTCTTACTTTTTTTTCATATACATTTCCTATTATTATTATTATTATAAATGCAACTAAAATGTAAAAATTAGAAATGTATTATGTTAGCTGAGACTTTAATGTAAAACAATTTATTAAAAAATTACTTGTGATAGTGCACACACATTGCAAGGTATAATTGTGTGAATCAACACATGTGCTGGTAACTTGCTATCTTGCTGTGACAACTGCCTTTCAGCATAGTCCTAGAGAATTTAAGTGCAGATGTAAAGAAATAAAACTAAATGAACCCAGATTTGGCTGTAAAAATAAATAGTATATGACTGTCTGTTACAATATGCAGTCATTCTAGAATATTGCCAACTTTTTTCATTTTTAAATCTCAAAGTCATTGTAGAAATCTTTCTGTATAATGGTTTGTTTAATGTATCTGAATATTTTCATTAGTACAAATTTTCCTTATGCACAGAGCTTGCATGTAAACAATATTTCATAAAAATAGGTGGCAACTACAATAATGAAGACATTGTAGTCTATCTGCTGGCTTTCTGTACAAGTTAAAGTTCAGAAAGGCCATCTTTTATTACATCAAGACGTTTGTGTGTTTGTGAAAGGGGGTTGTTAAGTGTAATAATCTTAATGATTTTAAAGAGGGAGTTAGTTTGTCAGAAAAAGTTTTGCAGAGATTCATTGCCAGTGAGTACAAACAAAAAAAGATACAAATATAACAGTTTGATGTGTTTGAATTAGTGAGCTTGATTCTAAATTTCTTTCAATATCTACCATAAATATGTTACTAAAGTTAGAAGCCACCATTATTCTGAATGTAACCCTCATTGTCGAATTCAAAGTTAATCAAAGTAAAGATAAGTTTGGCTAAGTCAATGAATTTGATATTCCAATTAGATCCAAGTGCAGTTTCTAAAGTTGCAAGACCTTCATCATGTGGAGTATTAGTTTAAAAGGAAGAAATGTCCATCAAACAGAGAAAGCTATTACGAGGCAGAAATCCTTTATCATTAACTCTTTCACCATGGGCTCAGTCCCTGGGACCAACCTCATAATCATTTTGTGCTTGTTATAGTTTCATCCTATAACATTTAAATTAGTAAGTGTATGTTAACAAAATTTGGCAGATTATCAATAAACATTACAATACTTTCATACGCAAAATATAAATTTTTTTTATTAAGTCTTAAAGTTTGTAAGGCAATGTTTTTCTAATGCCTTTTTTTTCTTTTTGCGTGTTGCTTATCCAACATGCAAAGTAATTT